CCCCAAAACCCCAAAACCCCAAAACCCCAAAACCCCAAGTGTTTGTTAAAAGGTTGAATTAACCCAAATTACTTAACCTTAAGGCCCTCCTACTTAAAACTCTATTCAAACCCAAAGCCTATGATTGTGCAGGTAACCTATGGCTTTGTGAATTAAGAGTTATGCCAAGGACTTGTACTGGATTAAGCTTCGGGCTGGTTCTGCTTATTATATTGTTTCATGGCACCATCTCAATCGATAAATTCTACATTGTCTAGCGAATGAGTGCTTTTGTACTGATAAGCGTATTGGAGGGAGTCATAGTCATCTACTCAGATCTCTTTAAGGCAAGGAAAGAGGGGAGGTTCAAAGAGGAATTTGAGTATGTTTGGAATGGTTCTGGAGCTCCAGTTATCTATTTCCTCCCACATGTTACAGTACAAGAAATGGATAGCATGCAGTTGTAAAGAGCCTTTGATCCTGTATTTTAAGTTTATCTCTGGGATTTTGCAATTCATGAACAACAGTCTCTGGCTACAAGATTGTTGGAAGAGGAGAACTAACTGTTTCTCTGATATTGCTATAATTTAAAGGAGAAATTACAAATATTATCTAAAAAAAATTCTTTTGTTGTTCTCTGTCATACTCTAATCACCATATTTTTGTACATTTTCATAGGTATTGGATCAGGCTCACAATTAAAGACTAAAGTACCATGAGAGAACCAGGTAAAATGAGCATATTTCATTAATTTCTCATAAATTTTATTTTCTCTATCTGAACAAGACCCAAAATTTATAACATTATTCCTTGTAGGTATTTTAAGCTTCAATATCTTCACATCTGCTTTGAAATTTCCTTCCTAAAATTCATTACTCCCAAAAAACCTTGCAATATCAAAATTTTCCGGTTCCAAAATCCCTTTTAAAAATGACTCAAAACTCAAAAATTCAAAAAAGTAAAAGTAATTAATCAAGACCATAAAATGCTAAAAATCCTCAAATATTTCTATTTAAGTTTCTTCTGCTCCTGCATACCACCAAGGACTGCTTCCTGCTTCCACAGTACTTCAGTCATGGTCTGGATCTCTTGGGTTAGGACTTTGCGTTCTGAAGGTGAGTCTTCCATTTTTCTATTATTATTTGGTGTTGGGGTTTTGGGGTTTTGGGGTTTTGGGGTTTTTGGGG